TATATCTCCTACACAGAAACTCACAGAGGCACCAAAGTTTCTGTGATTGATCATCATCGGGTCTCCTACAATATCCTATGGTCAAGTGATGACATCACTTAGGCCACGCCCCCTGAGAACAGGAAGTGTCATGTTTTACTGTCAAAGGTCGCTATCTGACCCCTTTGACCTCATCAACATGAAACTGTTCCCAGACACAGAAGACATGTTGGTGTATTGAGGATTCCAACCCCGACCAGCTTCAATGCAGCAGGTGGGCGTGGCGGCGTGGCGAAGTGACCTGTAACGCCATCGCCATACGTTTGGCTCTCAATTCCACATTTTCGGGCGCAGCTGCTCCAAATTCACAAAGATAGACAGTCATCTACTACCGGACAGGAATCCATCACAATATTTGGTGGGCGTGGCCTAATTTCTCTATAGCGCCCCCTAGAAAACTTTAAATGATCAGCCCCAAGCCATGCTTTAACCTACAATTACGAAACTTTGTACACGTGTGTACCTTGTCAGGACTTACAAAAAACTCTCTTGGAGCCATGGTCTAAACCCCACAGGAAGTCGGCCATTTTGGATTGAAGTTCGGATTTTGACCCATTTTTGCAGTTTGCAGCCTTCGTATTTGATCGAACTCCTCCCAGGGATTTCGATTGATCGGCTTCAAACTCGGTCAGTCTGTTCATAAGGCATGTCCCATCTAAAGTTATCAAAACGGTGAGTTTTTGAGTATGCTGAAGGGGGGTTAGCAGGGGTCAAAGTTCACCTACTCGCCATAAAAACATAAACTGCTATATTTCCTACACAGAAACTCACAGAGGCACCAAAGTTACTGTGATTGATCATCATCGGGTGTCCTACAATACCGTATGGTCGAATGATGACATCACTTAGGCCACGCCCCCTGAGAACAGGAAGTGTAATGTTTTACTGTGAACTTTCACTATCTGACCCCTTTGACCTCATCAACATGAAACTGTGCCCAGACACAGAAGACATGTTGGTGTATTGAGGATTCCAACCCAGACCAGCTTTGATGGAGCAGGTGGGCGTGGCGGCGTGGCGAAGTGACCTGTAACGCCATCGCCATACGTTTTGCTCTCAATTCCACAGTTTCTGTTCCAGCTGCTCCAACCTCACAAGGATGGATCTTCATCCACTCCCCGACAGGAATCCATCACAATATTTGGTGGGCGTGGCCTAATTTCTCTATAGCGCCCCTAGAAAACTTTAAATGATCAGCCCCAAGCCATGCTTTAACCTACAATTACGAAACGTTGTACACATGTGTACCTTGTCAGGACTTACAAAAAAGTCTCTTGGAGCCATGGTCTAAACCCCAGAGGAAGTCGGCCATTTTAGATTGAAGTTCAGATTTTGATCCTATTTTTGGTGTTTATAAACCATTTCAGTAATTCGCCACTTGGGGTCAGTATTGCTCCACAAATGAAACAGCAGATAAACAGGATGAAGAACAATATCAGTATTTCGCCAGTAGGTGTCAGTGTTCCTCCACCGATGATAAACAGATCCATGGGCGGATGGGCGCGAAAACTTTGTGAGAGCGTTGCCATGAAATTTCTAAAAGGATAGAAATGTCTCAGATAATTTTGTTGAATTAAATCATGCAGTAAATGTAGCGTTTTCTTACTTCTTACAAACCATTTCAGTAATTCGCCACTCTGAGTAAGAATTATTCCAACAATGAAATAGAGTGCTTTAGAAACACAGCTGAAAATGATGAAAAATGACGAACTGTAGTACTTCGCCATGTGCATATGATCGGCTGTAAATGACACGTGGATCATCCGACTGACGCCAAATTGGATACGTATGACCTTTGTTGACCTCTAAAGAGAACAACAGCATTGAAATATATTTTGACTCCACTGCGCGTCCTACATTAATCCGCCAGCTATATTTCCTCGCTAAACCAATGAATCTGCACCACATTTTTTGCATCGTCAAGGAGCGCCTCCGAACGCATCAGTGCGTACCGCCTGGTGGACGGGCGCGGAAACTGCGCAACAACTTCTGTGTTAGCACGTGGCCAGCGTTGATGGAAACTGAGCAACAGCTTCCGCGGTGCGGGCGGAGGAGCTGAAAACTGCGTGAGAGCTTCTGTGGTGGCTGGCGTGAGGCGGCGGTTGCTCGTACCCCGGTGGCAATAGGCCGGAGCGGCGCTTGGCTGCGAGGGCCGTTCGAGGCTGCTTGCAGCTTTAATTATTATTATTATTATTATTATTATTATTTTTCTTCCCACCTCTTTGGGGGGCTTTTTGGGGGACTTATCATATTGGAAAACTCACCAAACTTGGCGGAGGCCTTAAGCCTGTTTAAAAATTTTGATTTTTAAGGTCATCACAAAAATCCCACAAGAAATGGCTCAATAGCGCCACCTAGAAATTTTCAAAGGACCCTTTGCTATTCACTTACTTTATCCTAGAGACATGAAATTTGGTACACTTGTAGAGCTCCCCAGGACGCTCAAAATTACAATTAATGTCATAGTGCAAGTATCACAGGAAGTCAGCCATTTTGGATTGAAGGTCCAATTTTGAGCCCATTTTTGCCGTTTACAGCCTCCATATTTGATCGAACTCCTCCTAGGGATTTCGATTGATCGGCTTCAAACTCGGTCAGTCTGTTCATAAGGCATGTCCCATCTAAAGTTATCAAAACGGTGAGTTTTTGAGTATGCTGAAGGGGGGTTAGCAGGGGTCAAAGTTCACCTACTCGCCATAAAAACATAAACCGCTATATCTCCTACACAGAAACTCACAGAGGAACCAGAGTTACTGTGATTAATCATCATTGGCTGCCCTACAATACCCTATGGTCGAATGATGACATCACTTAGGCCACGCCCCCTGAGAAAAGGAAGTGTCATGTTTTACTCTGAATGGTCGCTATCTGACCCCTTTGACCTCATCAACATGAAACTGTGCCCAGACACAGAGAACATGTTGGTGTGTTGAGGATTCCAACCCCGACCAGCTTTGATGGAGCAGGTGGGCGTGGCGGCGTGGCGAAGTGACCTGTAACGCCATCGCCATACGTTTGGCTCTCAATTCCACATTTTCAGGCCCAGCTGCTCCAAACTCACAAGGATGGTCCCTCATCTACTCCCCTACAGGAATCCATCACAATATTTGGTGGGCGTGGCCTAATTTCTCTATAGCGCCCCCTAGAAAACTTTAAATGATCAGCCCCAAGCCATGCTTTAACCTACAATTACGAAACGTTGTACACATGTGTACCTTGTCAGGTCTTACAAAAAGTCTCTTGGAGCCATGGTCGAAACCCCACAGGAAGACGGCCATTTTAGATTGAAGTTCAGATTTTGACCCCATTTTTTGCCGTTTACAGCCTCCGTATTTGATCGAACTCCTCCTAGGGATTTCGATTGATCGGCTTCAAACTCGGTCAGTCTGCTCATAAGGCATGTCCCATCTAAAGTTATCAAAACGGTGAGTTTTTGAGAATGCTGAAGGGGGGTTAGCAGGGGTCAAAGTTCACCTACTCCCCATAAAAAATAAACTGCTATATCTCCTACACAGAAACTCACAGAGGCACCAAAGTTTCTCTGATTGATCATCATCGGGTCCTACAATACCCTATGGTCGAATGATGACATCACTTAGGCCACGCCCCCTGAGAAAAGGAAGTGTCATGTTTTACTCTGAATGGTCGCTATCTGACCCCTTTGACCTCATCAACATGAAACTGTGCCCAGACACAGAAGACATGTTGGTGTGTTGAGGATTCCAACCCCGACCAGCTTCGATGGAGCAGCTGGGCGTGGCGGCGTGGCGAAGTCACCTGTAACGCCATCGCCATACGTTTGGCTCTCAATTCCACATTTTTGGGCGCAGCTGCTCCAAACTCACAAGGATGGATCTTCATCCACTCCCCGACAGGAATCCATCACAATATTTGTAGGGTGTGGCCTAATTTCTCTATAGCGCCCCCTAGAAAATTTTAAATGATCAGCCCCAAGCCATGCTTTAACCTACAATTACGAAACTTTGTACACGTGTGTACCATGTCAGGACTTAAAAAAAGTCTCTTGGAGCCATGGTCTAAACCCCAGAGGAAGTCGGCCATTTTTGATTGAAGTTCAGATTTTCATCCCATTTTTGCCGTTTATAAACCATTTCAGTAATTCGCCACTTGGGGTCAGTATTGCTCCACAAATGAAACAGCAGATAAACAGGATGAAGAACAATATCAGTATTTCGCCAGTAGGTGTCAGTGTTCCTCCACCAATGACAAACAGATCCACGGGCGGATGGGCGTGAAAACTTTGTGAGAGCGTTGCCATGAAATTTCTAAAAGGATAGAAATGTCTCAGATAATTTTTGTTGAATTAAATCATGCAGTAAATGTAGCGTTTTCTTACTTCTTACAAACCATTTCAGTAATTCGCCACTCTGAGTAAGTATTACTCCAACAATGAAATAGAGTGCTTTAGAAACACAGCTGAAGATGATGAAAAATGACGAACTGTAGTACTTCGCCATGTGCATATGATCGGCTGTAAATGACACGTGGATCATCCGACTGACGACAAATTGGATACGTATGACCTTTGTTGACCTCTAAAGAGAACAACAGCATTGAAATATATTTTGACTCCACTGCGCGTCCTACATTAATCCGCCAGCTATATTTCCTCGCTAAACCAATGAATCTGCACTACATTTTTTGCATCGTCAAGGAGCGCCTCCGAACGCATCAGTGCGTACCGCCTGGTGGACGGGCGCGGAAACTGCGCAACAACTTCTGTGTTAGCACGTGGGCAGCGTTGATGGAAACTGAGCAACAGCTTCCGCGGTGCGGGCGGAGGAGCTGAAAACTGCGTGAGAGCTTCTGTGGTGGCTGGCGTGAGGCGGCGGTTGCTCGTACCCCGCGGTGGCAATAGGCCGGAGCGGCGCTTGGCTGCGAGGGCCGTTCGAGGCTGCTTGCAGCTTTAATTTTTTTTCCTTTTTCTTTTTGGCACTCAGGCTGGCAAAGGAGCTGAAGGAGAGGCATTCGGACTTCCCCGACGTCACTTCAGGGGCGTACGTCATCGAAGTCATCAGCCGAACTCCAGCTGAGGCGTGAGTGCTCCATTTTCTCAGGAGAAACTTTAAAGATGTTTTTCGTCGGACCACTTCATTTACAAGTCGCACAGTTACTCCCTCGGTTGCTGCCAGACATTATAAAAAGTGGGTGGGAAAAATATTTGGTGTTCAGAAAAATTTCTGAGCGACCAGATGAAACCAAGTTGCAGACTTCCAACTAAGACATGAGCCGAGGATGTTTGATTTCTGGTCGTTCTGGGTTTATTCTGTAGTCCTGCTGAAACTTTCATCATTTCATACTTGACTTTTTCTTGTTAATGATCCTGCTGAGTTGAAATGTCACATAAAAGTTTTTTGTGAAAGCAGTAAATGTACATATTTCTCATGCAGAGACAGTATTCCCTCTGACAAAGATATGAGTTGAACCTTTCAGCACAATTTTAGAAATTCAAATTTGTCCGTGCACATTTGGTAGAATAGTGAGGTTAAGAGTATCAATAGCAACATTTAGGTCTCTCAATGAAGGTTCATTTTGATCTATATCCTACTGAAATCTTTTTTTAGTTCAGTTTCTGTGCTACGATTGGATGTAAAACATCAACAGACCTGTTGACTCCAATCTAAATCGATTTTTTTCTGGATTGTTGTGCGGCGTAAATGAGAGTTGAATTGAACACTTCTCGTTGACCTTCCTCTACCCTCGTGTGTAGTGTGCGTATTTGGTTTGAACCAGTCAGGTTGAGGCAAAGAAGATCGCCTGTTTCAACTCAACATGTGATTTCTCTGAGGCAGAGCTGGCCTGAAGGAGGGGGACGTCATCATCAGCATCAACGGGGATCCCGTCACCTCGGCCACCGATGTCAGCAACGCCATAAAGCGGGACGACAAGCTGCGGACGGTGGTGAGGCGGGGAAACGAGGACGTCATCCTAACCATCATCCCCGAGGAGATTGACCCTTGACCTCTCGGCTAGCAGGGCAGCCAATCAGCGTGAGAGCTGAAGCAGTCAACCAATCGTGAGCTGGCTCTCAGAGCTTCTCGACCAATCATGAACACTTTGAATGAAACGAGCATCCACTGGAGGGTGTGTTTGAGGCTGCGGCTGTCGAACTTCTTTTTTTCTCTAAATCACTTCTCCCGCTCTGAGAGGCTCATTACTCCTCAGACTGAAGCTTCACAATGTCATGTTAGCCATTTCACTAATCTCCATTTACCTTCCGTCATCTCTCATCTCCTATATTCTAACACCTGTTGTACAGAGAGGTTACTGCAGGTCACCGTAGTTCACCGTGTATTGTATGTTCATGTTCATGAGGGGATATTTTTGTTAAAGTGTTTTCTCTTTGTGTTTGATGACAGAGCTGTCAAAAAGGAGAATAAAATTATTTTTGAAAAAAAAAAAAACAGTTTTCGCAGCATTCTGATTTCAGCGATTTACTGGTAAAGGTGTGTAAAAATGCAGAGCACAGATTTAGCTGGTTCCTGGCAGACAGCTGGTTTTCACAAAATGTTCAATCGCTGAATAATATGGCTTATGTAATATGTCCTCAAAGGCCTTATAGATTATTGAGTTTTTAAAAATTATTTAGCAAAATGATTTTTCCATTTGGGGCTGCACAGTAGCGCAGTGGGTAGCACTGTTGTCTTGCAGTAAGAAGGTCCTGGGTTTGATTCCCAGCCTGGGTTTTTCTGCATGGAGTTTGCATGTTCTCCTTGTGCATGCATGGGTTTATGATGTGTTGTTTTTTGTTTTCCATATTTTCCTGTTGTCAGACAGGTTAGGTTTAAGTGTGTTCTTGATTTTATAGGTCCGGATGTAATCACACCCAGGTGTTGCTAGTGAAACTCAACTCGGTTTTTCATAAATATCACGACTAAACAAGGGAGGCAGTCACTTCTTAATTAAATGATGTTGGTTTGGATTACTTTTTATTCCTTGAATGAATATACAATTAACTACTTTATGCATTAACTGTTATCTTTGAAATGTCATGATCCAAAACATAGACAAGTGACAACAAAAAAGCAAAACCTGTTTATATTTCTGACTGCAAATCCTTGTAAGGCATTAGTTTTTACTCATTTCTAATGCTGAAGAAACAATTTTCTAAAACGAATTAAAGAAATTCTTCAACTGAAGAGAAAAATCTCTGCAACATCACACATCATGCGAGTCCCTTTGCTCCTCAACCACTGGCCGTTCTACCGAAACCGCACCAATTATGAACAAGTACTGTTATTTTGAATCATTAATTTCCGTTGTGTTGAAAGTTTTCTGCACAACACAGACGCTGCTCCATTAGTATTAAAGACATTTTATTTGCGATTCACATCAGTACAGTTTAACTCCACAATTTATAAATTGGCTTAATAGCTTACGCACATGTACAGTATTTAAAACATTTAAAATGTGATCATTAAAATAAGTTACATCATCAGCGGCCACTCCTGTAAGATCGGGAGAATGCGCCAGCTCAAACAGGTCCGACCAACAAATTAGTTTTCAATTCATATTTCAGGAAGTTTAGTCCTCTCGGCTGTTCTTCTGACTTATGGATGACTCGGTTCTTCGACCGAGCAAGATGACGATTCTGCGACCTTCAAAGTGAAAAGAGATGCTTTCAGTGGAAAGACAACCCCTCTGCTGGTGTTACGTCTCAATCAGCTGTGCTGGAAAACTTGCATTACATCACAATCTGTTGCAGATTTCTCTGCGCTCTGTCACAACAGCTGAGTTCATTCTTTATTACAGTTTATTTTGGACTGATTTTAGTCATAAACACTGAGGCATAATGAGTGTTATTGCATTGTTTTCAGACACTATGGCCCTGTCAAAAAGAGCTGTCAGGATACTCAACCATAACATAGTGTCTCACTGACTTCCCCTTAAACTGGCAGCAAGACAGTAAAGCAGAAACTCCATATTCGACTGGAGAGCAAACGCTTTACCATTTAGTGTCTAGTTTTGACAGTTCAAGTGTTACAGTTTTACATGTTAAAGGTGTTATCTCCCTGTTAACTCTTGACACCGATGTCTGGTTTAATACAAGCGCTGTAAGGCCTCCAGTTACATAATGAGTGATTGTACCAGCTGGTCTGAGCTCAGTCAGCAGCTGGAGTTGGGTGGATGTGATCCGAAGGCCCAGTCGGAGCGGTTCCTCCCGGCGGCCCGCTCACAGCGCCGTGGTTCAGAGCCGCCATCAGCAGGGCCTTTTCCAGCTTCTGCTCCAGGGCGTCCAGCCGGCGGTCCATGTGCTCCTTCAGCCTCCGCTCCATCTCCTCTAGGCGGCGCTCCATGACCGAGTCCAACTCACTGCGGAATAAAAGTTTGGAGGAGGCGGTCACATACGCATCCCACTAATGAATCGAACCGATCCAATCTAAATTAGACCTACAAGTTGAAATGCGTACAAATATTCAACAAAATATCTTAATAAGTGGTGTTGACATTTCCAAACAGCATCTTTAACTCAACGAGGCTCGTTAGTGGTTATGATTGAGTGTAAGATCATCAGCTAAAATTATTTTACAGAGGTACAAGGTATTCAGTCACGTCATCACTTCAATGAGGCCTGGAGGAGGATTCAAACTCATTCGCTGGGATGTTTGGGAACCGCTGCGGATCAACCAGTCCGTGAACTGGAAACTGCTTGAGCACCAGTGTCACTGTCCACCTTCATCTTAATCCATCATCAAAAGCTACATGGTTGAAATTTGGACGCAACTGGGTGTTCCAACAGAACACAAGCTGATTTCAGTGGATGAAACTGACTAACATTAAGATGTGGGAATACTCTCTCAGAAGGCCCAATCTAAACACAATTTTAAAATTCTGGTAGGAAAGCATCAAGTTTGAACCAGCTCTATCAATCCAGCCTCGAAAAGCAGGCAAAGATCCAAACAGAATTGAAACCTGAAGCTTTCTGATGGTAACAAGGTGCAACTTGCTGAGAGCCATTCCAGCAAACATCAGTGGCGATGTGCTGCATACACTCAAGTCACTGTGGATAATTCAGAGACTTTGTAAAAATCAGAAAACAAAACAAAACAAATTAAGCTTGTGTTTTTAAGGACATTGTAATTGTTTAATTACTCCGGCCTGGTAATGGACCATTTCAAATAAATTTAAAAAGCCCTTCATTAACAAGCCACTTATTCCCATTATGTGCTGATGAGAAGCGGCTCTTGGTATGCAATAAAACTTAATGACTTGGACGAGTTTTCGGCACACATAGCCCTCAGTGTCTGTGTCCAAATGAAAAACAAGACTCTCCTCAAAACACAGGAGCGGATCCTGCAAAAACAGCAGCTTTATGTCTAACAGCAGTTCATAGAAACAGTCCAATTGGCATCAACAAATAAAATACTTGCAGTCAATGAATACTAATCTAAACATCTGAACTCAAGCGCTTAAATTATTGATCAGCTTTAGTTTGTTATCCTGACGAGGGAAGACGTACCGTTGAGCTGCGTTTCTCTCCTCAACATGGAGTCAGACCCAGCTGACCTTCTCTCCCAGCCCTCTCCGCTTGGACAAAGAGCCTCATTTATTCAGCCGCGGTTTTTGATGCAGTGTCAGAGAACAATTCTTATGTTTCAAATCAAACCAGCGTGAGCCGGAAGACTGATGCGCTAACAGCTCTGAGTCAGTTTGGTGCTGTTTCGCAAGATATTTGCGATTCACACGTCCAGCAAAGCTCCTAAATCTACTCTGTTGTGTGTTGGTTTCCCGCAAACCAGCCACTTCTGATCAAACCCGAATTCTTCTGTCATGTAGTTTCCTGGTTAAATGCATATTCAGTTTCAGGTCTAACCAGGAAGCAGACTGCAGAGAGAACCAAAGTAAAACCAAACGGTTGGCTTGTGAAAGAAACTGGCTTCCGTTTTGTCTTGGAGCATGAGTGGCTGCAAAACCCAAGTGCTTTGTGTTCCTACGGAACTTCCTGTTCAATCGAGTACGAAGGGGCCAGAAAACATGTCGCTTCATCTCCCACAGAAAATTTCTCGTTTCATCACAGAAAAGTAGGTTTGGATAAAACAGAGAAAATACTTTCCCAAACAGACTCACGTGGCACTTAAATACGGATAAAAAAAATTAATAAAATCATTCAGTAGATTGAATTGCAAAAACATGTCAAGGTAGAAGAACATTAGCTATGACTTTGAGAAGCAATGATTCTTTGGAGGAGTTGTGAGGTCATTTGAAAACTTGAAGTCCATAATTTTTGGTCCAACAGCTCACCACAGATGAAAGGGAATCGGTTAGGACATTTGGAACAACCTAAGAATAATTTTGGCTCAATCTAGCCTCAAAGTGGACCATACTGGCAAAATACAGCCGATGTGCAGAACATACAGTCAAATGTCTTCTGGAGAAAAGTTTGATGTTCAAACGGGACAAAGACTGAGCTGTTTGGTCAAGGTGGCAAAAGATATGCTTTGAGGAGTCGAGACGAGGCTTTAAAAGGACACTGTATCGACCATAAAGCATAGTGGTGGTGGCATCATGCTGTAGGGCTTGGCTGCCAGTGGTATTTATACCTTGCACAAAGTGTATAATAAAATGATAAATTAGGAGGATGTTCTCCAGATGAACAGAAACAAAACTAGAGTTTTTATCTTTGAAAACAAGGAGGGCTGATCTAGAATCAAGGCAGAGCTTCAGTTATTGCAGCTAGAAACTAGCGGCCAAGCCCAAAATCTGGGTTTAGCGAAGGACTCAGACCTGAACCTTCAAAGACACATAAACACAATTACAAAGTTAGCCTTCTATCACCTGAAGATGATTGCAAAAGATGGAGACCTGCAGACAGGAGAGAACTCTCTAAACTCCACCTACCAGGTGCCACTCCTCATCTTCTTCTCCCTCTCAAGTGCTGCCTCGGTATTATCCAGGCGAAGCTGTGTCACCTGTCCACACACACTCTGGAGCATGGGCAGAAGCTCGGGGCTCAGCGCCTGCCCATGACTCTGCCCTTTCAGGAAGTGTGAAAACATTTCCTCCAGCTGGGTGTGGTTCACTGGCTCCCCATTGTCACTGCTCGCTGCAAATGAAAGACAGATTTTATCAACAACGGTGTTGGAAATAAAAGGCCTCGGCGATGAAACCCTTTGGCCACAAGGTGTCACTGGAGAACAGAAACGAGACAAGTTACAGAAACAATAACTTAAATTCATAATAACTGGTTTAACAGTAAAAACAAAACAAAACAAAAAAAAAAACACCACACAACATTTTCCAGTTTTTTGCATCGTGATTGATTGTCCATCATCACGGTTTTATTCATACCCTTTGTCCTGACTCTTTGGACAATAGCCCAGTTTCTAGGTAATGATTATTCTGATTTTTGTTCATATAATTATGTTTTCAGTGAAGCTGCAGTAGCTACTGAAAAGGAGAAGGTTCAAGACGGAGTGAAGCTGAATATGTAGAAGGTTGCAGTGACAGAGGTAGATGGCGGGGATAGGACCTGGTACCTTGTGTGTGCATAATAATCAATCAATCAATCAATCAATCAATCAATCAATCAATCAATCAACCCTAGGTACACCCTGGACAGGTCGCCAGTCTGTTGCAGGTGCATAGTAATACATTCTGCAATTGTGTTCCAATCATTTACTGATAATTTGAAATAAGCCAGAAAAACAAGTGATACTTACTGGTATTATTGGAGCTGATGTCAGAGAGTGAAAGATCTGGGGAAGTCGAGCCCTCTGACATCCCTCCGTTGTGAGACGGAGTCAGGTCTGCAGACCTGATGGGCTCTGGAGGCTTGAAACAGATTAAAAGACAGATTTAAAAGTTATTACTCAAAGAATTGAAACAGTTGACAAAAATCTAGCTGAAAACAGAGCTCAGGTACTTTCACAGTTTATTAGTTTCTTCTAAAAAACCCCAAAAAACTTACAATTTAGCTTCGCTTAGGTTCAAATTGAGGCAAGAGCAAAAAACATTATCAATGGGTCTGTGAGGTTTTTTTAAACTTTGCTATCCTCATAATGGCTGCATTCATAACAGCTTTGTTTACTCCACATGAACTGAACTCGGAGCAGGAACTCCGGCTCGTTTGAGGAGGTGTGAAAGCATAATCGAACACTGAAGGGGACCAAAAGCAAGCTCCGGTCCAA